ATATATATATATATATATGTGCGTATGTATGTATGTGCGTGTGCATGTTATTTCTTCAGAAAGATTTAAACAGAAATAATACGAATTTATGTTATTACATGATAGATATATATATATTAACACAAATGCTTTAAGCAAAAATAAATATAATATATTTGAAGGCAAACAAATTGCTTTATACTATAGATTAGAAAAAATTACTATATTATATAAATCTCACGTTATATCTGAAACTAATGAGGCCTTCTGTTAAATCTTCTATAAGAGAAAAGACATTAATTTTATTGTAGAAAGATATATATAATTTTATTTATATTTTTAATCGAGTTTTGTAAATATTGCATTTATTATTATTTACTATGTTATATAACTATAACTTCGACTATTTCTAATAATATTATTTAATATTATTTATATGTTTGTTATTTTATAATGTTACAGATTGTCAACTATGTTTAAATATGATTGTTTTTTTTTTGCCAAAAGAGTTATAAATAAAGAAAATAATATTTGACACAATAATCCTTTGTTGTATTTTTGCACATTAATAATTATAAAAAACTACTCTTAACTAATATATTAATATAAAATATATATTTTATATATAATATAAAATAATTAAAAAAAATATATATTTAATTTAAAGTGCACCATGACAATTTCTGATTGGTTGTTTGATCGTCACATAACTTAATATTATTCTTTATAATTATTTAGAATATTTCTAAACATATATGTAATATATATTGTTATTTTTTTCAATCTTTCAATAGGTACTTGTTATAAAATTACTTTCTCACATAATGAATATGTGAAAACTAAATAAGATTTCCATCTATATAAGATATGAACCATGCTTGTAATTTGGCGGGTGAATCATAATAAACGTAATAAAGAAAGTTGTGCGGTGCATCACATTACATGAATGAATTTGTATTTTATGAATGAATTAGATTGACATATGATAATATATATTTATCAATAATAATTAAAATAGACAAATTGGTCATTATTTAATATATGATCGATATAAAAAAAAAAACAAAGTTATATTTATCACAAATACTAACAATTCTTCTATAGAATAACCACGTTCAATTTGATGTTTACAATTTGTTAAAAATTTATCAAAAGTGCAAATATGGATAGTGACAATGATTCTGATGGAATTAATATTTTAAATGATCTTTTATCGGATAACGATAAAGAAGAAAATGAATCTACGAAAACTAAAACTATTACAGAATTGGAATATAATTTTTTGGATTCTATATCTAACGATAAATCAATTGACAAAATAAATGATAAATGTGATAATAATCAAAAGGTAAATAATATTGGAAATATAAATGAAATTATTGGTGATAATATTGATTCTTCGGACGACGAAGATAAACGTTATTTTGAAAAACAAAAGTATTCTGAATATGGACGTGATATAAAACATTTATTAAAAAGTAATGAAACAAAAAAGAAAGAAAGTTTTACAACGTATGAAAAAGATAGTAAATCACTTTCTGTTAACAAAAATGTTACATTGGATAAAGGTACTACTAATTCATCATTCATTCAAAACAATATTTATAGTGATCCTTTCTTTGGCATAAGAGTTATTAGTCCACTTATTTCTTCTAAACAAATGAAGGAACAAATGAATGGTAAATTAGCCATAACTATTTCTAAAATAAAAGCATCTATATCATCTGGTTTGTTGTCTAACGATTGGGTAATAGCTGGTGTATTAATTAGTAAATCACCTACTAAAACTTCACAAAAGGGTTCATCATATTGTATATGGAAACTTAGCGATTTATCTGAAAACATGGATACAATTACACTTTTTCTATTTAGTTCTGCTTATAAAACATTTTGGAAAACTACACTTGGTACTGTCATTGGAATTTTAAATCCAAATATACTTGAATCTAAAGATAACTTTGATCAAGCAACATTGAGTATTGATACACCACAAAAGATTATGATCATTGGAAAATCTAAAGATTTGGGTAAATGCAAGTCAAATAAGAAAAATGGTGAACCATGTAATGCTATTGTAAATACTAACCGATGTGAATATTGTGTGTATCATGTCAAAGAAGAATATAAAAAATGTTCTAACAGAGCAGATTTAGGATCTAACAATAATATTCGTGGATTTTCATCTGATTTTGTTAAAAATAAATCTCAAAATAATACTGCAAGGATTATGAATAGTAATGGTATGCAACAACAATTTGTTCCAATACTTGCAAAAGAAAGTGACAAATTGCGTACGAATGATCAAAAACGTTTAGCTTTATTATCCGAAAAGCAATTAGATAAATCTAAATTTACTGAAAAAAGCAAAGAAATTAAAAAGGGAAGTATTTCTGTAGAATTGCAATGTAATCAAATGATAAAAGACAATGATCGAATAAATAAATTAAAAGCTTGGAATAGTAATAAACAATTAAGAATGGAATCAATACCTTCACCTTCGCAATCTAAAAGTACCATAAATAAAAGTTTAACTACTACAGAAAGTAAAGAAAAGAAAACAGCAAATATAGGACTTTCTGCATTATCATCTCCACGCTTAGGAACAGGTTGTAATAATGGTACGATAGATTTTTCTGAACCAATAACAAAAAGACATATCGATAATGCAAAAAGAAATGCCATTAAATGGGTACAACAAAATGGAAAAATTAAGCCCAAAGATCCAAATAAAATAAATTTGACGAAGGAAGAAAGAAAGGGTATCAAACGTCCAAGAGAAATTGATGAACATAAAGAAGAAAAACAAGAATCAAAAAAGGCTAATAATTTACCAAATAATTTTAAAGAATTAATGGAAGCTAAATCTAATCATGTTGATCTCATAGAAAAATCATACGAAAAGGAAAAAGAAAAATATTTCAATAAATTAGAAATGATTGAAAAAATGGAAGAAAAGATGTTATCAACTTTTAAAATAGAATGTAAAGCTGTAAGATGTTTAATATGTAAATATACTGCATTTTCAGGTTCAGAATTATGTAAAAAACAAAAACATCCACTTCGTGTAATAGATGCTATTAAAAGATTCTTTAAATGTTCAGATTGTGGTAACAGAACTGTTAGTCTTGAAAAATTACCTCTGTTTAGTTGTACTAAATGTAATGGTTCAAATTGGTTACAAGCTGCAATGATGGATGAAAGAAAAACTGATATTATTAAAGAAAGTTTATCTGTGCGTGGTGGTGAAGAAAAATTCTTAGGATGATTGTTTCAATTCAAAACATATCAACAAATATATCAATTTTAAACATTTGCAAAATTTATCAAGAAATACACAGAAATGTTATTTCTTATATTTTTATAATATTTATGCAATTATGCAAGTCTCTATTTTATATTTAAACATGTTAAACATCGTGATATAAATATATTAATTTAATTAAAAGTCTTGTTTTTTTAATTTCTCCTCTGTTACACTAAATTTATAGAAAATAGTTATATTAAAGTAAATTTATCATTAGATTAAAAACAAATAATACAGAAAACTGATATAGTATAATGTAACATACACACACACACACATTATTATATTAATTAAATCTTTTGTTAAATACACATAATATAATGTCAATTAAAAATATGTCAATTTAAGAGTTTATTTCAACCAACTTCGATTGACTTTTATCACACTCGATTATCAAACCTATATTATAGGTTAATATTATATAACAATTATTTATTGTACTTTATTAATTTAAATATTCACATATAGAAAAAAAATATTTTAATTTGAAAACAAATTACTTCTAAACATATGAAAAAGTTTGGTTATGTTATGCACGTCAAAGTTTTGGACAAAAATATGAACCTTATACCAATCTATATTGTACTTTTTCTATGATCATATTTTGTTTGGGAAAAGTACCATTATAATTTTAAGGTTATGCTGCTTAATTTTAACGCGTGTACTTACATCGTTTGTAGTTGATGATAGAAAAATGGATGAAACATTTAATACACCGCCATCAGCTAAATTAAATTTATCTGGTCAAATTTATTGTGTAGAATTTTCTCCTTATGAATGGTCCCAGCAATTAATTTGTATTGGTTTGAAAGAAGAAATCATAGTTGGTACAGTCAAATTTCAGGTATCCTAATATCAAATAAATTATTTGTATGTATTAGACATTGTATTATAATTTCTTGGAATTAATAAATTATTAAATGTTGTAGGAGGAAGATGATACTGTAGAAGACATAGCTTATAATTTAATAAGAACATTTCATCATGACACTAGACCAAATGCTATTGCATGGAGTCCAGAAACAACCTTAAGTGTCGTTCCTAAAATTCTTACTTTTTGTGTCGCCGGTACAGATTTTAGAATACGACTGTACAATAGTAATTTAAATGATATTAATACATATGAGGTACGTTTTTCTAAAAAAACTTAATAAATAATTAAAAATAATAATAAATCAAATTATATAAAATAAATTATTTTCATTTAAGATTTTAGAAGGACACATAGATTATATAAATTCAATTTCTTATGAACCTGAGGGTGAATTATTAGCATCAACATCTGATGATCATACTTGTAAACTTTGGGCTATTAAAGAAGATCAAAAATGTGTTTCAACATTTCACTTAACATCACCTGGAATGAGTGTATGCTGGCATAGCGAAGAATCTGGAAAGTTGTTGGTTGCAGAAAAAAATGGATTAATTCATATGTACAATGTTAGAAATCAGCAAGCAATTATTTCACTTGATGCAGGAGTACTTCCTTTATCCTCTGCAGATTGGGGTTCTAATCCACTGAAAGTTGTATCTTTAGCAGCTGGAGAATTACTTTTATGGGATGTATCTAGACCCAGGTAAATAAGATTTTATTTATTTAATTGATCATATTTTGATTATATTATTATTATTATTATTATTATTATTATTATTATTATTATTATTATTATTATTATAAATAACATTATAAATATATATTTATGATTTTAGTCGACCGTTGGAATCTGGAACACTTTATATCGAAGGTGGTCTTTTAATTAAATTTTTTCCTGCTTACGAGCACATTGTAGCAAGTATTGGAAGACCTGATAATCAGTTAAAAGTTAGTAACTTTAAGATAAAACAAGTTATATTACATGGAAAAGTTAAAATTGTAGGAGGTTTATCTTGGCATTATAAATATCCGTATGTTTGTGCAGGTAGTGATAGAGAACTACATTTTTGGAAAATAAAAATTCATTAAATTAAATGTATTATTAAAGTGTTATTTTTTATATTTATATAAAGTCAAATTATAATGTATTTTTTCAGATAAAAAACATAAAAATAAATAAATCCATATTTGTAATATTAAAACAAAAAATATAACTTATTAAATTTTTTATATACATGTTTTAAAATTTATTTCCTTATTTTGTCTCTTTCTTCTTTTTAAATATTGTTAATACTTATTATGACGTAGCATTTGTCCATAGCTTATCAAGTTTCTCTGCAAACGTAGATATAAAGGTTTCAGAGGGAAATTTATCTATTAAATCGTTAGCTTTAGTATATGCTAAAATAGGATTTGGTGAATTTATACGTTCGTTAATAAATTGTTTCTTTTCGTTTTTCATGCTATCAAGTTTTTGTATTAAAACCGTTTCATCTTCAATAGCTGAACTTTCGCTCGATCTTTCCTTCTTACCTACAATAATAATAAAAAATAAATTAAATTTAAAAATATATATTAAGTAATGTCAAAAAAATACTTTATCATATTAGTTATACCTAAAGTGTTAAATATTTGAGTCTCTAATTTGGAGATTTCGCTAGTTAGAAACCAAAATCTCACTGTTTGTTTTTCAAAAATATCTTCAAGTAGATCTTCTATTAACTCTATTATTTCAATACTTTGATCATTTATAGATATTTTATTTTTCTTGTCAACAATCCAATTGAGAAGTCCAACGCACAAATAAGCACGTAAGCTTTTGGACAGGGTATATTTTCCTTCATAAATGCTATCACTTTTTATAGGACTTTTAGTATCTAAATGTAAAAGTACTTTAATAAAATAATTTCCATGATTACGATGCTGTAATTCAAATTTATAAAAAGTAGTGTATAAATTAATCAAATGAGTTAATCGTTTTTCCGTTGAATCACAAATAAATGCCATTGCTAACTCGCTACTAGCACTTATCCACAACTGAAATGTAAAATAAATTCATATTTATTTCATTTTAAATATCAAAATTATTCCATTGTTATACTTACAGTTGGTTGATTATCTATTACTTGATTAAAGTTATATTGACAAAGGTCATTGTAATAATTTTTATATTGTTCGCAATAATCTCCGAAAACTTGTAATACATCAAATTCAAGTTTACCCTTTATCCAAGTACAAATTGTACTTTCATTTATATCTATGTTAATTATCTTTTTTAACATTTCATACGCATTTATTAGCACCTCTAAATACTGTAAAATTATATAATGCGTATTATATATTATAATTATTAAATATCAATAAAATGTATTCTTCTACCTTCACTTGTGGAAACCTTTCGATTATATATTTTGCATTAGATACAGCTGAATTTTTTAAAGATTCTATTAAGGCTTGTTCTGCTAATGATTTGCTTAAAACATTTTCATCAGATAACAATGCTAATTTAGAGGCTATTATTAAACTGTCAACATCTTTTCTACGTGCTAATAAAGAAGCTGCTTCCGAGTAAGATCCAAGTTTTACATAACTGAAATTAATAATAGTATATAATTGTTGTGTACAATAAATTAACAAATTCATTTAACTTACCAATGTGCTGCACCTTCCAAATGTCCTTTTCCACTTTCGTATGTTGCCCAATTTTCTAATATTTTTGTTATTATTTCATCGTTAGTATCCAACTGAGATTTAGCAAGACAATAAGCTTCTTTGTACATTTTTGCATCTTGGAAAACATTTATAGCTTCGTAAATTTTATGAATGCAAAGTAGATATGATACTGCTTTAGTTGGATTTGATTCAAGTATCAATTGATTTGCATATGCTTCACACATTGTACGCCATGTCCTAAAATATAGAAGAATAAAATATTTTAATAAAAATTACAAAATTAATAAATTTTTAATTAAAATTCGATATTTGTTTTTAATCGAATAAATAAACACAACTAACTTCATTGAAAGACTTGGCGAAAGTGAAACTAAAGTATCATTAAGACGTTTCTCTTTAACAGCAATTTCCAAATTTTCTTCAAGTTTACCATACCACATACTCATCTCTGTAACCGCCATGTGATTATTTTGAGTAGTAAGGACAGATTCTGAAAAGAACGATCAAAAATATAACTATATATTTTAATAGTTTGTCTATAAGATATACTCACTTTCACTATTAAAGATCTCGGAAAGAATTGCTTCTTCACTAAGTAAAGTAGGTTGTGTAGTTGCTTCTTTTGTTTTATAATCTAAATTTAAAAAATGGTCTTCATCTTTAATAAGAGATTTGATGGATTTAAGAATAGCTAATTTAGTGTTCATTACTTTTGATTGAATTGGAAAATAAGATTTTTTTTCTTTGCTTTTCTTATTTACTTCTTTTGTAGTAGCCATTGATATCTCTACAATATAAAATATGTTATAATTATTTTATAATTTTATATCACTATAAGCTTCATTTAATACCTGTTTGATTTTTTTCTGTTTCTAAAGGTTTCTGTTCTGTAGTTACTTCCGAAGTTTTTATATTTTCAACATTAGAACTATTTGATCCTGTGTTACTGTTTTCCTTTAATCTTTGTTTAATCTTAACTGATGTGTTCTTTTTTGACTTTTGTTTAGGCTTTACAACTGACTGAGATGATATTTTCCATAAACGTAATGTTAAATCTGCTGATCCTGTTATTATAACATCTGGATCTATGGGACTCCACATACAAGAATAGACAGGTCCCTGATGGTTTACAAATGTTGCTATCACTTCTTGTTTGTCAACATTCCATACCTAATATAATAATATAAAATAATATAATAAAAAATACAAAAATCTCTCTTTATATAATTATTATTTCTAAGTAAACCTATGAAATATATGTAATGTATAAAATTACCTGTGCTGTGCAATCATAACTACATGAAACTAAATATCCACTTAAATGTGGATTCCATGCACAATCAGCAATTTGTTCGCTATGACCATTTAATGTAGTAAATACTTTGCCAACAACTTTTGAAGATATTTCACTATCATTTACAACATCAATTAATTCTGGCGATCTGTTTGCCTCATCTATTTTCTCAACAAGATCTGAAAGATTAAGTATTGTTATAAAACAATCAGCATAGCTTACAGCCATATAATTTCTAAAATGAGAGAAGTTCAAATCCGTTGTAGTACTATCAGGATGCCATTTGAAAGAAAATATTGATGAATTCATAGTACTACTTAAATAACCACATTCTTCAAATTTTCGATTATAAAATCGAATTGTCCTAAAACAAAATAAGAAAAGTCAAATTTATATATAATGGAAGTGCATAAATCTTTTTATTTGTAGTTTTAGAAACATTTACCCATTTTTAAATGCTACAGCTAAAATCGAATAACTTGGGTTCCATGAAAATTCGGTGCATTTTTTTTCAAATATGACTACTGGCTCTATAAACAATAATAAAAATTAATATTACTCGAAAAAAAAATATATCACAATTATATTTTTACCTTGGCTTGGTTGGTTTGGTGAATAATGTATAAGGTCGAGTTCTCCACAAGAATATAAAGTATAAATTTCGCTGTTATGATATGGTCCCCATTGTAATGTATATACTGTTTTAGTATAATATTTCCTGTATAGAATTGGAGGTTTATTACTACTTATATCAAGTACACCAATACGACCTTCCGAAGTTCCATAAGCTACAAGGTTTTCTTTTGTTGGATGCCATGCAATCTAAATAGAATATGTTTACTATATTATTACGTAATATTTTTTAAATAATTAAATATGGTCATATAATATGATATACGAAAAAAAAACTTACAGATTTTATACTGCCTTTTATCTTCTGCCAAAATACAGTAATATCAAAAAGAGTTTTATGTTCTTCGGATAAATTCCAAATGCGTAACATTGCATCGCCTACACCAAATGCAATTAGTGAAGTTTCTAAAGGACACGCAGCTATACTATAGACATATCCACCTTGACTAGTAATATCATACTTTATTTTTATAGAATCTTTTTTTATATTACAACAAACAATCCTACGATCTAAAGATGATGACCATACTGTAACACTAAATAATTATAAATACAAATTTATTTTTACTATCAGATCAATTTACAATTATATTTAAAAATGATTCATTTAACTTACCTATTATTATTTTCCGAACTATCATCAGAAGTTTTATTAATATTTGGTTCTTTACAAATAAAAAATACTGCTCTATTGTGACGAGAATGAACTAATTTAGGTTTGGCATCCTCTATTGTATTTAAATTCCAAGCAAGAATTTCTCCCCAAAATGAACTAGTAAGTAAAAGTGTCGGTGATGCCCAACAGACACTAGTCCAATTACTATTATTATTAGAAGAATATTTATTCAACTTATTTCGAGTGTAACGAGACTCAAATGATGAATTTGGCAGAGTAAGTTCTGATTCATATCTACCATCTCCACCAGCTCTCCATAAAAATATAGATTTATCCCTTCCACCAGAAGCCAAGAGGTAATCTTTATTCTTTTCATCAGTTAGAATATTGTGTTCTACAGGACACCAAGATAAACTACATATTTCTGTATCATGACCTCTTAATCTATATCGTATAGTGCCTGTTCCTCGTGTATCGACTATATAAACCAATCCAGTTTTAGAACCTATTGCTATAAGATTACAATCATGTGGACATGTAGATAGGCAAGTTACTGTAACTTTTTGCAATCTTAGTATTTCAATACAAGTATTGCAATGTATAGTCCAAGATATTAGTATACCATCATTACTAATGCAATATATTATATTGGGATCTTTGATGCACCAATCAACTCCTACAACAGTATGGTTTGTCTAAAAAAAAAAAGAATTAAAGAGGTGTAGGTAAGCTGATTAATAATTAAATTTTTAAATAAGAACAATAAGATATATACATTTGGAAATGAGTAAGCCATTATTGTTGAATTATTATCTAAATTCCATATCTTCACTGTATGTTCATCAGCACCAGATACCAATAAATTTTTGTTATCCTCTCCATACTCGGGTGAAAAAGATAATACATTGATTCTTTCTTTATAAGCATCTTTAATAATAGAATAATTTAATATCTTGCTATTTTGTTGACGTCTTGCAATTACAATAGAATTGTTAGATCCCCATGCAATAGTACCATCTTTGGAACATGCACAAATATTATTCAAGTACCAATTTGGAGAAGGTGGTAGAGTTATTTCATTCATTTTCTTTTATCTTTATAATCTGAAATTAGATTAAAATGTCATTAATTATTTAATTCAATATTTCATAATCTACTTACATTGTTACTTTACAATTATTATATATTTTATATTTTCAATATTATCTAATGAATTAATTAAATATCAAATTATGATTATTCATAGTAAAAAGGAATTATAATTAAACTTTTTTTCTTTGTTTGTTTCATACATTCTTATGAAAAAAAAAACAGTATTTTAAATTAACGGAATTTTGAGGTTAAGCGGCTTTTTCTTTGTAATATAAACTGTCATCATTTATACCTCCCGCGTTATTAAATGATAATAATTATTAATAATTTTTTAAATACATACCTGATATAATAAATAAATCAAATAAAATTAATTATTTTAATATTTTTTGTGTTATTCATCTACTGGACGATGTGGTCAGATAATTCCTAGGTAGTTCCTTAACGACTGTATCAATATCTAAATTTTAAACACATTTAATGTTTACATGATGACAAAAAAAAATGAAATCGTAAATAAATATTTTGATTTTTAGTGGAAATTTATTTGTTAATAAAAGTATTAAAAAGTAATTGACAATTGCAAGTGTAGAATAAACATATATATA